TTCCCTCTAGTCTTACACTGCTAAATTAGGGACGACTAGCGCAGATAGCCCTCGTGTAGCTTTGCAACCAACCAAGAATTCTTCTAATGCATCAACGTAAAAAACGTCTTTTTTTTTTTTACAAATATTTATGTATTTCTTAGCCTGCGATGACAATGAAATTGGTATAGGTAGTTTTCAGTTTCTCGTTTCAAATGTATTTTCGTATTTTAGGGAAATTGTATTTAAAACAGTATTTTGTAAGACTGACATCCTTATCCCCCTATAGTTTGTATTTTTAGTCCTAATTCTCTGTCGTCAAGTGTCTGATTTGTCGATAAAATATATCGTGATCAATCGCGTAGCAGTTCGAGTTTATAAGCTTTTATCTAATTTTACTATCCTCAACTACAGGAGAAGAACGGAATTTGACAGCAAACAATGGCGATTTTATAGCTATGAAGAAGTCTAAGTCAAAGAACAAGAGTCGATTAGATCCCGCCGAACTGTCAGAGGATGGTCCATCGTCCAGAACGTCTTCTCCTTCCAATTCCCCAAGCAAGAAAACGATTGGCAGCAGATCAGCGAGTCGTGTTCAAAACGTTTGGTCCACATTGAAGAAGTTTGCACCGCACAAGCTAAGAAACCGACGAAAAAATCAGCTAACCTACAGTGGAAGGCTTAGCTCTAGTCACCCTGACGTCTCCAGCAGCAACTTGGCGGCATTGGCAGAAGCTCCTGTCGACGACACCATGGTTAGAGAGACAGAAGTCAGTTATTTATGTGACACGTCAAGTCACAGTGACCCCAGTCTCAATAGGGAAGTATCACTGTCAAAGTCTAGTTTTCCTGCAGATCGAACCAAGAGATCATCGAACACCGCAGAGGATGACCAGACCGATAGTGGTGTTGAAAGTATAGTAAGTGAACACCCATATTGTTCTTTTGTTTGTTTTAGCAACATAGCGCCAAAAAGAGGTTTCGATGTTTTGAATTTCTGATTCACAATAGAGTATGTGAAAAGACAGGTCAGACTTTCGCGTTTTCTTTTCTTTATACAAAGAAAGTAAAAATATAAGATTAGAAAGTTACTTAAACATACACGCTAGTTTTGTAGTTATTAATGTAGTGTAATTAAATAAAGCTCACACGACGTAATAATTGATGCAAGTACATAATACATATTATTTAGTTGTATTATAAAAATTGGCCCTTTTGAAGAACCCTCGTGTTTCCTTGCCGTTGTCAAGTCGACGCACGTATTTCTGGTTACCGATATATATATATACTTTTACATAAAACGAGTGATACCACAAGTTAATAAAGGCTTATTAATTTCCCCGAAAGGGAGATGAAGGCCTCCTGGAGGGGTCCCCTGTTTCAATAACTTGCTCCACTATACAGTATTGTGTTGTTTGTCTGTAAGTCAGTCAGTAAAATTAAGAGACGCTTAACCTTGCATTTTGTACTGTTGTGACGTCTGTAAAATGTGCGCATTCCATGAATCGCGTGAAGAATTAAACACTCTGTAGGCTACAACACAATATGACATTTGAACTTGAAAAGCAAGAAATACAAATATTTGTTACTCTTTTGATTTTATTTACTCATAAAACAGAACACTTTCGGGGACCCTGAGAAAACACATATAGCATTACTAGATGTAACTGCTGCTGAATCCACTATACAGAACTACGGATTTTGTAGAGGATATTGATGATTTAGCTATCTGAAAAATGTAACAATTAACAATTCTGTTAAAATCTATCAACAATTAGTTTCATATTTAAAACGCATGTCTGCTATACACGTGTAATTTATTTTGCATGAGGCTCAGATTTATTTCCTTTTATTTGATCTCTATCAGATGATGTGGCATTGACATGAAACACACAAACACATAAATATTCATAAGACTGTTTTAACGTGTATGAATGTATAAATGTATATGTATTCACATTAAGAAATGACTTTCCTACATTACACATTTCAACTGTTAATGTGCCGTATCAGGTTAACGCATGTGTTTGGCGACGACATGACCAAGGCTGTTACGTTGATCCTATTGTTAACTGTTCCTTTGATATTGATCCATGCCCCCTAGTGGCACAGCGATAAGTCAGCGGACTTATAACGCTAGAAACCGGGTTTTGGTACTCGTGGTGGGTGCAGCACAGACAGCCCATTGCGTAGCTTTGTTTTTAACTACGATATATATATATATATATATATATATATATATATATATATATGTGTGTGTGTGTGTGTGTACGTACGTAACCCACCCTACCTACTACTACGTTCTTCTTCTCGTTCGTACGTTGGTTTCGTTTCTTTCGTTTACGTTTACG